AGCAGTGACGGACCACGTCCCAGTTCCGTAAGTCATCACTGGCAACACGCACTGGTTGTACAATTTCGTTTTAAGGTTTTGAGGTATGTCTGACGAGAAGATGTGTCGTAGCTTCCCGAACGCTGCCCAGCCGAGTTGAATCCGTCGATTGACCTCTCGGTCGAAGTTGGACTTACCTAGTCGGACTATTTGTCCCAGGTAAACATACTCGTCAACAACTTCGAGCTTAGTGCACCCAACAACTACCGGCATAGGTGTGACATGGACATTAAACATAATCTTTGTTTTGTCCATGTTCATCTTAAGACCTATCCGTTGGGAAACACTATTGAGGTCATTGAGCATAGTGCTTAGGCCCTCCAGCGATTCTGCCATAAGGACTATATCGTCGGCAAATCGAAGGTGAGTGATGTACTCGCCATTGATGTTGATACCGTATCCTTTCCAGTCCAGAAGCTTGAAAACGTCTTCCAATGCAGCGGTGAAGAGTTTCGGGGATATGACGTCACCCTGTCTTACACCTCTCTGCAATTGGATAGGTTTCGTACTCTGGTTCTGTACTCGGATAGCCATCGTAGCCCTACTGTACAAGCACTTCAACACTTCGATATACCGACAGTCAATTTGGCACCGCTGAAGGGACTGCAGCACCGCCCAAATTTCGACGGAATCAAAGGCTTTCTCATAGTCCACATAGGCCAGACATAGTGGCAAATTGTACTCTTCGCACTTCTGTACAACTTGCCGAAGGGTATGTATGTGGTCTATGGTGCTAAAGCCCTTTCGGAAACCGGCTTGTTCGGGAGGCTGGAAGTCGTCAAGTCTGCGCGCGAGACGATTCGTAATGACTCTCGAAAACAGCACGTAGACGCGGCTCAGAAGGGAAATCGGTCTGTAGTTCTTCAAGAGAGCGTTGTCACCTTTCTTGAAGAACAAGACCACCGCACTTCTGCTCCACGCCTCCGGTGTAATGCCACCATGGAGGACGGAATTAAAGAGCTTCTGAAGGACTTCAAGTACCGGTCTTCCACCCGCTTTCAGAAGCTCCGCTGTAATTCCATCCTCGCCTGGGGCCTTACCGTTTTTACGGTGCTGGAGAGCCATTCTAATCTCGCTCAGACTGACGTCCGGGATATCTTCGGAATAGTGTCGGATGAGACTCGCTCTTGGATCGTTACTCACACTTGCGTGTGGCTCCAACGATGACGTGTACAGCTGCCCATAGAACCTCTCAATCTCACTCAAAATCTCAGGTGTCCCGGAAACGATGCTGCCACATTCCGTCTTCAGCTTTGACAGTTGGCTCTTTCTGGCAGACAGATCTCTGGCAAAGACTTTGGAGCCTTGGTTCCGCTCTATCGCTTCTTCAATACGAGCTGTATTGAAGTTGCGTAAGTCCCGCCGCATGCATTTGGAGATCTGTCTGTTCAGATGCCTGTATGCTGTCAAGTCTGTTGAAGAATGTAGCTTCATCTCCCGTCTAACAGCCATGAGATTAAGAGTGTGATCGGAGAGTTTTTGTGTTCTTCTGCGGCGGGTCTTGCAGAACTTAGCTCCGACCGCATGGACAGTTTCCACGAGCTTGTCATTTATATCGTCCACTTCATTGCAGTCTTCTAGGCACTGAAATCGGTTTTGTAACTCGAGCTGAAAGGTTTCGGGACTTTGGAACAGAGCTCGAGGGGGACGGAGCGTTGACTTCATTAGACGAGACCTCTCCAACTTAACGTTTAGGTTCAGTGTGCCTCTAACCATTCGGTGATCGCTACCAGTTTTCACCCTCGCGATCACGGAGACATCACTGAACAGTTGTCGTCTGGTCGTCATAATGAAGTCAATCTCATTTTTTGTCGAACCGTCGGGGCTCGACCAGGTCCACTTCCTGTGGGGCCGCTTCTGGAAGAAAGAGTTCATCATAAAGAGTCCCTCTTTCTCCATGAAGTCGGCCAGCTGCTGGCCCCTTGGGTTCCGTTGCCCTATTCCAAATTTCCCTACTTTCAGCTCACCGTTCTCTCTTGTGCCTAGTTTTGCATTGAAGTCTCCCATTAACACCGTATATTGGGTTTTGGAGGAATGCATGGCTCTAGAGATATCCTCATACATTTCCTCCACCTCCTGATCGGGGTGTGCCGAGGTTGGTGCGTAAACCTGTATGACCTTCAGCGAATACCGTTTGGTGATTCTGAGTATAAGGTACGCAACCCTCGTCGACACACTCCCGATCTTTACAACGTTGTTAACGAGAGACTTGTGGACGATAAATCCGACACCTCCTTGGGACAGATGGTCGCCCTCCCGGTGATAGAGCAAGTTGCCGGATTCGAGGATTACCGTGTCCTACCCCTCTCTTCGGACTTCGGATAATCCTATAATATGCCAGCGCAACTTGTCTATCTCTTCTTCCAGCCCCACGATCTTCTCGTCAGTCCTCAGGGTGCGTGCGTTGTACGTTGCCAGGTCGAGTCGTCTAAGGTGGCAACCGAACCTCCACCGGAGATTCTTAGCACCCCCTGCCCCGCCGTTACCATGGTCGCCACCGTAGCCAGGAATAGCGGGGCCGCCGGGGACTGGGGGCCGTCTGTTTGTTGCTTTAGTCATTGGGGGGTATTTGCCATAGTTGTCACGCTTGGCGAGCGGGTTGGCAACCGCAGTTTTTTTATTATAATTTTGGCTATTATCAGGAAGATGCTGCTGCCCATCTTCTGCCTGTTTCCCTTTGTCGCCTTTTACGACACCCACGGGAGGATATGGGGTAGTGGATATTCTTGACCGCCACTACACGGCATATTTTATATGGCTTTTCCAATTTAGATTACTGTCTATTTTAATTCCTAACAATGAGAATTTTTGTACACACTCTAGTTTTATATTATAAATAGAAAAATTTGTATTCAACTGCTGTTTTTTATATGGTTTAAAAACCATTAATTTAGTGTTGTTAAATTTATTCCAAATTATGTTCTTTAAATTACAAAATGAGACAATAGAGGTAAAAGTTATAATATTTGAAATAATCTAGAATGTAGCTTATAAAATCCTTAATTGTATGACTCCACAGAATAATAATAAAAATTGTTTACAACTGGTGTTTTAAAATATACATAAGGCATGATAGGCAAAGAGCTAGAAATTAAATTGTTCTTAAATAGCAACAATATTCACATTTTGTATATTATTGAACATTGGCTCAAAGCTTATAACTTAATGTTTAGCTTCAGTAATCACCAGGTGGTCAGTACTTTCAATAGAGGAACGGTTTTATGAGGTGGCTCCTTAATGTCAGCTAGTAAATTATTATTTTTATTCATTTATTTATTTCAACACTTACAAATATCTTTACATGTAATCCTAATACGATAGTGTAACTATTCTATATGCTATTATTATAACTATTTTATGTGCTATTATTATTATATGCAATTATCTTTTTAAATTAGGTACATAACAAATAATGTATAATGCTAACTTTGTGAACTCACTCAGTGGACAACAAAACAAGTCTATTTCTCTCGCTATCAAATTAAGTGTGCAGAGAGCAAGGGTGAGGGGCGCCTGATGCATTAGGTTTGTCCTTTCGCCGTCGATATGTATCCGTCGGGTACATACATGTTTAAGTAGTAGTAGGTACCTTATAAATATATAAAACTAGAGTAAGTTCTCTCCTAACCCTAAGTTCATTGTATCTGACCATTCCTTAAATTAATAAGGTTGGATACATTAAAGGATAGAGTGTAAAGTTTCATATACCTACATATAGATATCTCACAAATTTATTCTGTACCCTCTCCAACATTAGGTTATACTTAGCTTCATGCGGAACTTAGCTTCATGCGGAACTTAGCTTCATGCGGAGACCAAACGATTGCATTGTGTTCCAAATTAATTCTGACCAAGGCATTGTATAATACAATAATTGCTTTGACATTAGTGAAATTATTTACTTGGCGAAGAACAAACCCTCGTTTTCTATATGCTTTTTGCAGATATTAATAACATGAGCACGAAAATTTAGTCCGGCATCCATTTCAACACCCAGATCCCGCACTTCTGTAACTCTTTTCATAAGCTCCTGTAAAATAGCATCACGCTATAAGCAGGAGTGCTACCGGGCCTGGGCTGATGCATCAACGTCTCGGGATTTAAAGACCAGCGCACTTAAAAAGAAGTATAATTCCGCCTCCAGGTCCTTCAAAAGCGTCATTGCCAAGGCAAGGTCTGAGCACATCGGCAGAATTGGCGAGAAGCTAGTTCGCCTTCCTTCGGGAACCCGTGCATTCTGGTCTCTCGCCAAGGCTGTCCAAGGGAACTTCTGTCAGCCATCCCTTCCATCTCTGCACAGAGAGGACGACTCACTGGCCCATGCCGCAAAAGAGAAAGCCGATCTGTTGTGCTCTCTTTTTGCGTCTAACTCGACTCTAGATGACGGGGGGAACACACCGCCGACCATCCCGCGATGTGAGTGCTCCATGCCGGATGTGCGATTTACACAGCGCTCGGTTCGCAAAGCACTCTTCTCCCTGGACGTCAGCAAGTCGAGTGGGCCCGATGGAGTCCCTCCCATTGTGCTGAAGACGTGTGCTCCGGAGTTGGCACCGGTTTTAACGCGTCTTTTCCGGTACTCCTACTCCCAAGGCGTAGTCCCGATTTCATGGAAGACAGCTTTGGTCCACCCGATCCCTAAAAAAGGCGACCGCTCAGACCCGTCCAACTACAGGCCTATCGCTATCACCTCCTTGTTCTCCAAAATAATGGAATCCATTATAAACTGCCAGCTCATGAGGTACCTTGAAGATCACCAGCTGATCAGTGACCGTCAGTACGGTTTTCGTCGGGGTCGATCAGCGGGTGATCTTCTAGTTTACTTAACTCATAGATGGGCGGAGGCAGTAGAGTCCAAGGGGGAGGCATTGGCCGTTAGTTTGGACATAGCGAAGGCCTTCGATCGGGCCTGGCACAAGGCGCTTCTTTCGAAGCTTCCTTCCTATGGGCTTCCCGAGAAATTGTGCAAATGGATCACTAGTTTCCTTGCTGATCGGAGCATCAAGGTCGTAGTAGACGGTGCATGCTCTGATTACAAGCCTATCAACGCTGGTGTTCCACAAGGCTGCGTGCTATCACCAACGCTGTTTCTCCTGCATATCAATGATATGTTGCTAACTGGTAGCATTCATTGCTATGCAGACGACAGCACTGGGGATGCCTTATATAGCGGCCGTGCCAATATTTCTCGGGAAAACGTCGCCGAGTACCGGGACAAACTTGTGTCTGAAGTCGAGTCTTTGCTTAACAAAGTCTCGGATTGGGGCCGACTAAATCTAGTCCAGTTCAATCCCCAGAAGACACAAGTTTGCGCGTTTACCGCTAAAAAGAACCCCTTTGTCGTATCTCCTCAGTTTCAAGGCACTCCCCTTGCTGCCTCAGCCAGTATCGGAATCCTTGGCGTCGACATATCGAATAGCGTGCAGTTTCGTGGTCACTTGGAAGGGAAGGCCAAATTGGCCTCTAAAAAGCTTGGCGTGCTCACCAGAGCGAGACAGTATTTCATGCCGGCACATCGCTTGCAACTTTACAAAGCGCAAGTTCGGCCCCACATGGAATACTGTTCTCATCTCTGGGCCGGGGCACCCCAGTGCCAGCTCCTTCGACTTGACCGCATCCAGCGCAGAGCGATTCGAATCGTCGACGACCGAGTTCTTTCCGATCAGCTCGATACACTGGCACTGCGTAGAGATGTTGCATCTCTTTGCGTATTTTATCGCATCTATCACGGGGAGTGCTCTGAGGAATTGTTCGGACTAATTCCAGCCGCTCAATTTCACCATCGCACGTCGCGACAAAACTCGCGTTACCATCCGTACCATCTGGATGATTGGCGGTCCACCACTGTGCGATTTAGAAGAAGTTTTCTCCCTCGCACAACGTCTTTGTGGAATCAATTACCACCAGCGAATTTTCCGAACCGATACGACTTAGGAACCTTCAAGAAAAGAGCTTACACCTTTCTAAAAGGCCGGCAACGCATCTGCAATTCCCCTGGTGTTGCGGTTGTTCATGGGCGGCGGTAGTCACTTACCATCAGGTGAGCCGCAAGCTCGTTTGCCCCCTATTCTATAAAAAAAAAAAAAGCTTACTGTCAACCTCATAGTTTTGTGCTATAGGTATTCTTGAGGGGGTGAATGATATTGTCAAACACTTTGAGATGTAAAATTGCAACTGGTTCTCCTTACTCCAAGCTGCTACTCTATTTATGTCGCTCTGAAGTCTTTTACAATCCTCAGCGCTCCTTATAGGGAATGAAAAAAAAAGTGAAATATTTAGTCGGCGAATAACAGACACTTCGCAACTTTCACAACACTCGGAAGATCGTTAATCATCAATATGAACTGGAGCGGCCCTAGATTACTGCTCTGGCTCACTCCCGACCAAGTAAAATATCTTTCTGACAGATGTTTTCCGTATTGTACATACTGCTGCCTATCTCTCATATAGCTAGCAAAGAACTTTAGAAGATGTGGAGTAAAACCGGCGCTAGTCAATTTTTTTCAATAATACATTGTTATTTACCCAATCAAACGCCTTTTTAAAGTCAAAATAAGCCCCGTCCACCTGTTCACCCCTATCTACTGTTGGCACATTTTGAGCCATATGGCTAAGTTGATTACTGTCAGTACTTCTTTTTGGTGTGAACCCATGTTGAGCGTCTGATAATTGCGTGCTAACCTGTAAGAATAAATTGTAATTGATAGCGGACTCTAGTATTTTCGCTAGAGCTGACAGTACTGGTCTATAATTTTCTAAATTATTTCCATTACCTGCTTTAGGTACCGGTACCACCCGAGTAAGTTTCCACATCTCTGGAAATACAACAGCCTCAAGGTATTTGTTAAAAATGTAAAGCAGAGGTATGTCTAAAACCAAACGACAATCCCTAAAGATATAAGGCGGGATAACGTCTGGACCCGCGGACATTTTCGGTTTGAGTTTTTGGAGCGCTTGTCTCATTTCATCTAAGTGTAGCCTCTCTAGGTGGACTCGCGCCGCACCATTCTCACCTCCTGCTTCTGCTACCGCTGCATCTACATTCAGATCCGCTCGTCGAGTACTATATACAGAGTGGAAATATTTTGTGAACTCTTTATCACCTTGCTCCTCAGATAATATATTTCCGTTTTTTTAAAAATTTCTGCGGATTTCTATGATCTCTTTTGTTCTTAATGTAATTCCAAATGATTTTGGTTCCTTTAAAAGGTTATTTTGAACTATATCTTGGTATTGTTTTTCAGCCATTTCTATCTTTTTTTAATTATTGCCTTACACCTGGAAAACGCAACGTAATCGATTATTGATTTACTTGTCTTATACCGTTTACGTAAACTAGCTTTTTGTTTAATGGCTTGAATTATTTCTTTATTATTTTTTTATAGGATCGGGTGACAAACGAGCACATAGTCTACCTGATGGTAAGTGGTTACTGTGACCCATAGACATCTATATCTATCCTCAATAAAGACTCAAGATTCAGATGCGTTGTCACCCGTGAGGACTAAGATGGAATGCCTCTTTGCCAGTAAAAAGGGTTTCCGGTTCTCTACACTCACCATACGAAACACAGCAGCGTTAAGCTGCTATTTTACGCTGGTTTTCTGTGAGAGCGTGGTCCTTCCCCGGTCGAGCCGACCCATTCGTGCTACAACCATAATATAGCTGTAGCATGGCTCTACCACGTAAAAATTACTATGATGTAAAGAAGGTAAAGATATTGTGAGCCTCTCTGTACCTCATTTTTGTGAGCGTCCCATGTTTATAAACGATATTTTTGAAAAGAATATGGAGGAAGTTTTTGTTAAGCTTAATAAACAGAATAAATCTGTTGTAATATGTGGAGATTTTAACATCAATCCCCTAGAAGCTTCCTCCACCAACATTAAATTTAGATCATTGTTTAATTTATATGGTTTTTTAATTTATTTTTAGAGCCAACGGGTGTTGCTCAATCTAGTGCAACATGTATAGATAACATTTTTACAAATGTTAAGCCGTTCTTTAAATGTATAATTCAAAAATTATGTTCAGATCTTTGTGGGCACTTGCTTAGTAGATGAGAAAATTGTGTTTGTTCCAATAAATGCACGTCGCTTAGAGAAGTTTAGAAGTAACATAGTGAAAAAATTTCCATCGCTTTCATACCAAAGTGAACCTAATTTTTTGTATAGAACATTTTTGAAGTTTATTTGCAATGAATTTAATAATACTTTTACTTCTAAAACGTTCTCCTTGAACAGTCGGAAGGCATTCAAATAATGGGCGACACTAGGAGTCCATAAGAGCAGACAAAGGTTACCACCATTTTTCTTGGAATCACAATAGACGCGAAGCTTCAATGAAACCCCCATATGTCTTAAATAGCAAGCAGACTTGGTTCTTCAGCGTATGCTGTAAAAAAATATTAGAAATCTCACCAGTGCTCAAACAGCTAGACTAGTTTACTTTAGCTATTTCCACAGCATAATATCGTATGGTATTTTGCTATGGGGACACGCAGCTGAAACTGAAATTATATTTGTTTTATGGAAGAGGGCCATAAAAGCAATGTATTATTTTTTACATTGTAGAGCCATGCTGCAGCTATATTAATAGTATAGTTGTAGCACGAATGGGTCGGCTCGACCGGGGAAGGACCACGCTCTCAGAGAATACCAGCGTAAAATAGCAGCTTAATGCTGCTGTGTTTCGTATGGTGAGTGTAGAGAACCGGAGACCTATTTTACTGGAAAAGAGGCATTCTATCTTATTCCTCGTGGCTAACAACGCATCTGCATTTTAATTCACAAACGAGGATAGATGCAGATGTATATGGGCCACAGCAACCACTTACCATCAGGTGGACTGTGTGCTCGTTTGTCACCCTAATACTATAAAAAAAAATAAAGCCTAAAGAGTCGCTGGTACAAAATTTAAGGAAATGAATATAAAATTAACTTTGACCTCTCAATATATTTATGAAAATTTAATGTACGTACACAAAAATGAAAGTAGTTATACAAACATAAGTGAAATTCATTCTGTAAACACTAGGACCAGACACAAGCTAGTAGTACCAGTTACTCGACTCCACCGAGTCAGTAATTAATTCTTGTGGCTATGTTTACGTTTATACAACAAATTCCAGAAAATATACAAAATTTGACCTGCTTAAAGTTCAATAACTTTATTAAACAAAGTAAGGTGTTATTTCCATGGGAATGAGGTAATCGCTACCAAGCTACTTCTAATTTGTTGTGTAATATGAATTTTGTATTGTTTGTACGTGGTAGAGCCATGCTGCAGCTATATCAGTAATATAGTTGTAGCACGAATGGGTCGGCTCGACCGGGGTAGGATCACGCTCTCACAGAATATCAGCGTAAAATAGCAGACTCTTTTTCCTGGAAAAGAGGCAATCCATCTTAGTGCTCACGGGTGACAACGCATCTGCATTTTGATTCGTAAGCGAGGATAAATGTAGATGTCTATGGGCCACAGCAACCACTTACCATCAGGTGGACTGTGCGCTTATTTGTCACCCAATCCTATAAAAAAAATTGTGTAACATACATGATTGTAAGGTGTTATTTTTTTAGAAAGTCCGCTGGGTTTCCTGCTGATTCTTCCTTGGACAGAGTTTTTTTTTTCGACACAGTGATTATTAAACAAAAGAGTGCCTTCAGTAAGTATTATTTATAATATATATTGAAAAAATAAGTTTCTGTTTCTGTTTCAGTGGCCTTCATCAGATTAACCTAAGTTTGACTGTTACTTTAAAGCTGTAAACAAAATTGAAGTCACAGTAACGATTGCAAATTAAATATACATTTTCTTTAACTGTCCCTCAATTTTTATTAATTCACCCTACGTGCCTTCATGTATATTGGACGCTGCCGAATTTCCCCTCGACCTCGTTTTATGAATTTCCGAATTCCGCCAAACGTTAATGATTTCGCGTACGTTCTATTTAAATAATTTATTTATTGGTTACTTCAAATAAAACTCAGATACAGTAACAAATATTTTAGGTTATTACTTTCTAATATATTTGGTTTATTTTGAAAAGAATAACTTTATTT